GAAATTAAAAACCTATTGATTTTGCCAAATCTACTGCAAAAGACATCTTTAAAGTGTTAAAAAGCAAAGATGTCAGTTTGAGGACTAAGGTGAGTCTGACTCAAGCCATGGTATTTTCAATAGCCTCATATGTATGTGGAAGTTGGACAATGAATAAAGATCATAGAAAAATGGATGATCTGAATTATATGGTGTTGGACTGCTAGAAAAACAAACAAATTTGTGTAGAAAGAAGTGCAGCTACAATGCTTCTTAGAAGCTAGGATGGCAAGACTTTTTCTCTCATACTTCAAGTATGCTAATAGGAGGGACCAGCCCCTGGAGAAGGACATCATGCTTGGAAAAGTGAAAGGTCTTCAGAAAGAGAAAGACCCCCAATAAGAAGGACTGACACAGTGGCAGCAAGAATAGAATCAAACATCACAATTGTGAGTATGGTACAAGACTGGGCAGCATTTCGTTCTGTGCATAGGGTCTCTGTGAATTGGAACAGACTTGATAGAACCTAACAACAAGAACTATATATTTATATAGTTATATTCAACAGCACTTAACAACAACAACAATTCCAGCAATTCCTAGAACATTATCATTCCTAATATTATTGTATTTGTGTCTTCTTTCCTTTCATGTCAGATATTTGTGTGGCATTGTAAGTATAAGATAAGCACTGGGTAGCTAAGTACAAGATCAGCAATTCAAACCCCAGCTGCTTGAAAACCCTTCTTAGGGTTGCTGTGAATCAGAACAACAATTTACAAACCAATTTTTATAATTTCTTCTTTTTTCATGTTAATTATTGTCTGATCTTACTTTAATTCTTCCCTTTCTTCCACTTGTTTTAGGTTTATACTTTTCTTAGTTCGGAATAACTTCTACATCTTCATTATTCATTTAACAGTTTTACTTCAGTGTATCTAATTTGCTGCTTTATTATTCCATTGAAGATTTCATTTAATAAGTATATTTTTCCTTTGTAGACCTTATGTAGAGCTGTAGGATAAGCACTGAACTGTTAACTGCAAGATTGACAGTTCAAACCCACCAGCTGTTCCTTGGAAACCTTATACAGGTTCTCTATGAGTCGGAACCAACTTGATGGCACTTAACAACAACAGACTTTTTGGGTTCTTTCACAGTCTGTCTGTTCTTTGATCAAACTGGTCCCTTTCTTTCTATCATATTGTTCAATAATATGAAATACTTTGGGATTTAATCAAGCTTTATATTGTATGTGATAACCCTCAATAAGGTTTGATATGTTTCCTATATGTATTCTGAAATTTTAGATTATAAACTTTTTTTCACTGGGGTTTATCTAAGAGAAAAATTTAGTGGTTGATTTTAGGGTGTTTTCTTTAGTGCATTTTGTATTTTCCACAATCTAAAGGATGTGGTTGTGTGTGCTTTTAGTTGGCCCCAATTTACAGTGATCCTATGTACAGCAGAATGAAACACTGCTTGGTCCTGCATCCTCACAATTGCTGTATTTGAGCCTATTGTTACAGCCACTGTATCAGTCTATCTCGTTGAGGGATTTCCTCTTTCTCGCTGACCCTCTACCATACATTATGTCTTTTTTCGGGGACTGGTTCTACATGATAACATATCCAAAGTATGTGAGACAAAGTCTTGCCATTCTTGCTTCTAAGGAGTATTCTGACTGCACTTTTTCCAAGACAGATTTATTTGTTCTTCTGGAAATGAACAGTAATTATGGTTCACCAGCCACCATTTATCTGTCACTTTGTCATACTGTGGTGGCTTCTGAGTTGCTGTGATTCTGGAAAATATGACATGGGTATTTTAAATACCAGCAAAGTCACCCATGGTGGACAAGGTTCAGATGAGCTTCCAGATGAAGACAGACTAGGAAGGAGAGATGAACTACTTCCAAATATTTAG